GGTGGAGCGGAGGAGCCGGTCCCTGAAGCGAAGCGCAGAGAACTGCAGGAGCCGCCGCCGCCAGGCCCGTCGGTCTCTAGAACGCCAGCGGGCCTGCAGCATTTCCTAAGCCGTGGGCCCAGCTGGTCGCAGGCATCCCCGCCCCCAGGTCAGGCACGCAGTCCAGCTTCCTCCCCTGGCCAGGGACAGGCTCTTGCACCAGGGGTTGCAGCTGCCTGCACCGTGGCTCCCAGAAGTCTGGGCCTGGCACAGCTGCCCTCCTGGCCCGTGTGCACCAGCGCAGCAGGACGTGTGTGAATGGGGTGAGGCGCCTGGGTGGGCTCATGCAGTTCCTGGAGCAGGTTGGAGAGCCGTGGCCAGCAGGGCAGCCCTCAGCTGGGAGGGGGCATGTGCATTGCTGCCCATGGCCTGGGTCCGAACAGCCCCAAGCCGTGGGCCCTCCTGGCCGAGGGTGGCCTGCCTCAGCTCCCGTCAGCTGGATAGCTAGGAGCACCTGCAGGCATCAAGTCAGGCCACTGGTTCCACACGTCCTGGGTGGGGCAGCAGGCCCCTGGCCTCAAGCTCAGGGGAGCCCTGGCCTGGGCCCTGAGGCTCACGGTCAGCGGTAAGGGCCGGACAGGGCGCCTGCAGGATGGATGTGCTGCTCTGGTCTCAGGGTGGCAGTCACCCTCCTTAGGTCCGAACCACAGATGGGGGCCCCAGGCCGTTGGGGCATGCAGACCGCCCAACCCCAAGAACCCACTGTGCCTGGGTGGAGGGCGACAGCAGCACCCCCAAGCCCTGGCCTGCCCGCGGCCTTCGAGGCAGGTGCCAGGTGCGTCCCCCAAGCCGCCAGCCTGGCCCCAGGCAGTACCAGGAGCCCAGGCAGCCCTCGCGGGAGGGGTGGCCAGAGGGCTGGAGGAGTGTGGGCTGCCGGTCACCCCGCTGCGGGGCCGGGGCCTGGGCAGGAACCACAGCCTAGGAGCCTGGCAGCTGCTTCAGGCGCTTTTATTTCCCACTACCGGTGGGAGCCCAGGCACCGTGCGGCCAGCGCGGGCTGCGCCTGCACCCAGGCGGAGCTGCAGCGGAAGCACCTGGAGCAGGCTGGTCCGAGGCAGCAGGAGGGTCCTGGTCCCAGGACGGCAGGGCAGGGCAGGGCGCAGCCGCCTCCCACCGAGCTGACCTAGGCACTGAAGGTGCATTTCCCTACAAAGAGCGACTCGAAACCAGAGGCGAGAAATCACAAAGCTTGTTCTTGAGCTAAAGACAAAGGAACATGGATTATGCGAACGCCGAGTTCAAAGCAGGAAACGCTGGCTGAAGAGAAGGGGCTGGAGGCTCCAGTGAGGGTGGGCAGTCCTTGGCGGCAGCCTGGAGGGCGGCGGCCCGTGGACAGCGCTGCCCGGGGGCCTGCCCCAGCAGCAGGCCAGCTGGCACCTCTCCCTGGCTGCGGGGGCCCCCCGCAGCGCCCTGCCCCGGGCAGGCTTAGTCCCTGCGTGGCCTGCCGGCCGGCCGCCCCACACGAGTGCAGCGCAGATGGCTCTTGTTAAGGCAGAGAGGC